AGGACCCTAGGACAATCAAGGGAAAAGAGCATATGCGGCATGCAGGACCCTATCCAGAGAAGCAGAGACACCAAAGATGGGGACATGAGAGAGACAACAGCTAAGGACTCTAGATTCATGGAAAGACAGGAACTGAGAGTTGGTGGCCAGGAGGCAGACTTGCAGAATGTACCCTGTGGTGGTTTAAATTATTGTATATGCCTGAGTGTTTAAAAAAAAAGAGAGAGAGAGCTAAAATAAATGGAGAGAAATAGTTAACTGATGGTACATGGAGGGCATTATAATCACTGTAATGAAACAAAGTATATGATTTGTTGAATGTAAACTGATGATCTGCCCTGTAAACTTTCACTCGATTCACAATAAAAATTTCAAAAAAAAACCCAAAAAACTGTGTATCGATGATGTTGTTACTATGGCTAAGTGCCATGGAGTTAATGCCAACTCACAGAGACCCTGTATAGGGTTTCCAAGGAGCAGCTGATGGGTTTGAAGTACAGACCTAATGGTTTCCAGTCCAGTGCTGATCTACAGCATTACACCAGGAATCCGTGTAATAACAGTAGTACAATATGCCAAATCAAAACCACTACCATGAGTGAATTCCTATTCAGCAACACTGTACAAGATTTCTGATACTTTATGGTAGCACACAAATTCATCTTTAAAATTGGCTAAATGGTCTTTTTACTATACACATATTTGTGGTTGTAGTCAAGTTGGTTCCACCTCAGGGCACCCCTGTATAGGGTTTCCGAGGAGCAATGGGTGGGTTTGAATTGCTGACCTATGGTTTACAGTCCAGTGCTGATCCTACAGCGCCTTACCAGAAATCCTATATGTATATATATTCTACCATTATTTTTTTTTTTTTTAGTATGGCTATAGTACTAAGTATAATGTAAAGTTTGAAAATTTTTAATAAAACACAAAACTTTACAGGAGCATTGAGTGAGTCCTACAGATATACTTCTTTACCATAGAGATTATTTTGTATAAAATGTTACAAATTCCAAAATAAATTAGAATAATCTATGGTACATTATAAATACCACAAAAACTTTGATATGCACACACAAAAATTTTTTTATGGTATCTTCTGATTACATTTATTTCTTGCTGAGTGATAAAAATATATTTTCATATATTCAATAAGTATTTGATGATCATCTATTATACCCATAGCATCCATCTATATGTAGAAATCAATGGTTTGGTGTGGTGCTATAGGAAAGGCACTGGGCTGCTAAGTGAAATGATAGTGGTTCAAACCCACTATCTGCTCCTTGTTGTTGTTGTTGTCAGGTGCCATCAAGTCGGAACTGACTCATAGTGACCCCATGCACAGCAGAACGAAACAATGTCCGATCCTGGGCCAACCTCACTACCGCTGCCACACTTGACACCATCAATGAT